CGCCGTTCTGCGGAAGCTGCCCGTCAGTCAGCACCTTCTCCGTTCCAGCCGCCGCCGCGTCAGCCCGGGGGAAGACGGAGATCACCAAGCCCTACTTGTAACTTGGCACAAGTAGGCACCCTACGGTCCTTTTCAGGACCATCTACAGGTTCCAAAAAGACTACCGACCGCCAACTACAAGACGGACGCGGAGAAGCTCGTTGCATCCTACGGTCCTTTTCAGGACCATCATTCGTCGGCCCGACCTTTTCGGCTTCGCCTGTAAGACGTCGCGACCCCGCTTAAGCGGCTTAAGGCCACATTGGGGCACTAACGAGGGAATACCTCTATCGGAGAATATCCAAAGGTGCCCCAGGTCTAAAGCTGCTAAAGCCCGGTACGCCGGCGCGGGTGACCGCCGCCGACCCGAGACCGTAAGTCGGGCGTGAGACACCCGCAGGCTCCGGTACGGAGGGAGGGAACCGGTCGCTACCTTCTCACATACGGACCCCGTGTGGTCGGAGAAGGGGGGGAGTGCTTAATTGCTTAACTCCCGTCGCCGAACTTGCTAGCCTGACCTAATCGAGAGGTCACTAGAGGCCGAAGTGAGCGGACACACAACCTTTCCTAGAAGGACTCTTGTAGTCAGGAAAGGTCTGACACCCTCTCGCAATAGGACCACAAGGTCAAGAGAGGGCCGAGAGAAAAGCTTAGATGCGCCGGCTTGCTTAACTCTGCCACAGAAGGCCTTAACAGGCAGGCATCGAGGATCTCTCTTTATCGAGGATCTCGATCGAGGATCTCCGGGTAACCCCGTTGATTCTGCAGCCGATATTCTCTCTCCCAAGCCCGTCATACTGTACCGCGGGGCAGCCCAAGGTCAGGAAAGGAGTGTCTTGCGTATTATTGCTCCGGGGTGTGCGACTACCGGCTAGGATTTAGCAAAGCCCTATAACAGGACTCTTGTAGTCGAGAGGTGCTGCGCTAGAGGTCCACTACACACTACCCCAAGTAACGGGTTTCAACAGTGTAGAGCCCTTCCCGAGGCTGAGAGGTAGGCCTAATTGAGAGGCAACCAACTCGCTAACCGGGCGTCACCCCGCATGTTGTCGTGAGTAACGCGGTCGCGGTGAGAGTCGGGTTAAAACCTCGTCCCACCCATCCAAGTGAAAGCGCCGCAAGGCCCAGTAAACGCTCCAAAGACTAGGTAGCACACATAGGTTTAGACAGCTCCACTAGGGAGCTAGGCCCTGTAGGAAACATTTACTCACACCACTTCACACCACCACACCACACACACACCATGGGAGGCAGCGATAAGTCCAAGGGAGGTTTCGACCCCAGGCAACAAGCTGTTGCTGTAGGACAGGGGACCCGGTCCACCTACCTTAAGCGCAGCTCCCAACAAGAAGGCCCCTCGCTGGGCAAGGGAAAGCAGGGCAACCGCCAGAAGGGCAAAGAACGCCAGGCTTCTACAAGCCAGGTTGCCAATAAGGGAGGCAAGAATGGACCCCAAAGGGATGATTCTTGCCAGTCTAGCTTCGGCGAGACACCCCTTAAAGGGGGAGACTTGAGTGGACCCCAAAGGGATGACTCTAGTCAGTCCGGCTCCGGCAGGACATCCCCCACCAGCCAATTGGGCGTCCTCCCCATGCGATCCACAGGGGTCACTATGGCAGCTATAACCTCCTCCATTGTAGGTCACACCACCACAGCACACACCTACACCAGTCCAACAAACCAACCACCCTCTTTCTCACTCTTCAGCCCCTCTCTTCTCCCACCCACCCCCTGCGCCGACTCGCCCTCGAGGAAGCGCTCCCTTACCTCACCCATGGACGAGGAGACACCATCCAAGTCCAAAAAACCACAACAACCCTTTCCCTTCATACGCCGGGCCAAAGCAGTCACATGCTTTGTCAACGCCATGCCAAACGTTGACGATGAGGTTTGCGCCCCATCTGACCCACTCGCATTGTTGCGGGCTAAGAGGAATGCACAGGCGTCTACCCCTCCACCCTCCCTTCTCCCTCCCGCCTCATTTACCAAACCACCCTCTCCTCTTACTGACTTCTCTATGCTTAAGTCCTTCAACTTCTCTGCTGGATCTGAAACTGCTCTCTCAACCGAATCCTTCTCTGCTAAGTACGGGCCGGCAAGCTTGGCAACAATCCAAGTCGGGAGTAGCAACTCCCGGTCCACCGCACTAAGCACCACCA